CAGGAACTCACTCGATTCTCTGTGCCTGACCGCATGCCGTGGCCCCCTGAGGCCAATTCTGCCTTTGTTTCTCTCAAACAGGGTTTGGCTTCTGCCCCTGCCTTAGGGCTTCCTGACTATTCTAAGCCTTTTACCCTTTTCTGCCACTAACAATCTGGGTGTGCACTTGGAGTTCTCACTCAGATGCACGGAGAAAAGAACCACCCAGTGGCTTATTTCTCTGCCACTTTAGACCCTGTTGCCCAAGGCTTACCCCCCTGCCTGCGTGCTGTGGCTGCTGCAGCGTGCCTAGTTGAAATGTCTGATTCCCTTGTTCTCCGCTCTCCTCTTACCCTCTTGGTCCCTCACTGACCTCACCCTGCTCCAAGACTCTGTCCCAGAAACCGAGAGAGAATCCTGGGTTGCCCAGGGTTGCTCTCTACATCCCAATTCCTTTTGGCACTCGCCTACTGGCACCTTTGTAGCCCTCCTTTCACTCTACCCATCTCTGGCCGCCCTGCTACACGGTGTTTCGTATGTCATAAAGGAGGGGATGGTCTCTGCTGTAACAAAGACAGGATGGTGGGCCCCCCCATTTTAGCTCTTTTGCAGCCCGCCACTGTGCAGCCTGTACCATTTGCCAAAGCCATAATATTGGTAAACCTGTAAAAGTGGCCATGGGGTTCCGGGGCCTGCCTCAAGCACCATTCTTGAACAAATACCTAAGTGTCAACAATATGAATTTATATTGGTTATGGTATGTTTATTCTCCGGTTGGATTGAAGCCTTTCCTTGTTGCAAGGCTGACTCACTGTCTGTTGCCAAATGTTTGTTAAATCATATTATGCCTGCCAAGGGAATTCCTGCTACTCTGTCCAGTGATCAGGGTACACATTTTACTGGACAATTTGTTCAACATCTGGACTGTATATTGCATATCAAACACCTGTTGCACTGTCCCTACCACCCACAGAGTGCAGGTGCAGTTGAAAGACAAAATGGTGTACTTAAGAATAAACTTGCTAAAATTTGTTACTCTACAGGATTAAGCTGGCCAGTAGCCCTTACGGACATGAGATCCACTCCATCCCAAAGGCATAAATTAAGTCCCTTTGAAATTGTTATGGGACACCCTATGCGAGCTATGACTACCATTACTCCCGTTCCAGATTTGAACTTGACTCACAGTGCGCTTCTTCAGTATTGCAAGGGACTAATGCAAGCTGTAAGTCACTTCCATTCACAGGTTCGAGTCGCCTGGCCCACAGAACCCGCCTCCGATGCTTGCCACAACCTCGAGCCAGGTGATTGGGTCTACGTACGGCACCATCATCGAAAGCACGCCTTGGAGCCCCGGTGGAAGGGTCCTCATCAGGTACTGCTTACTACACAGACGGCTGTTAAACCATCTGGCATTGCAGCGTGGATACATGCTTCACAGTGTAAGAAGGCACCATCCCCAGAGAAACAACCACCACCTCAGGACAACGCAGAGTCAATTTTGACTCCAGAAGACGACGTAGAAGAACACTCTACAATACCTTACAATCTACGCTCTCGTAAGGGTTGCCAGAAGCAGACGACGAACAAAAAAAAAAACCCAAAAAAAAAGCAGTAGCGAGCCTAGTGCCTACTGCCTGGTGGGCATAAAACCGTGACTGCGGTTCCCTCAGTTGAGGTTGTCAGAACCAGAAGAGCCTTGCCTCCAACATGCGCCTCTGCCTGTTCCTCAGCTGCTGGTATCTTACAGCCTGGGGAGACCACAATGACAATTCTTTTATCCAGCAGCAGGTATGGATAGCTCAGACCCTTAATATTTCTAATTGCTGGGTCTGCAGCCACATCCCAGCCCACTCTCAAACTGGTGTTCCTGTCCTGGCTATCCCACTCAAGTCCCCAGACCTCACTGGAGGGCCTTGTCCGTTTAACAAAATATGGAACAGCAATGACACTTGGGAAGCGGTGGGAATAAATGCATCTAAATGGATAAGTGTGGTGGAGGGAAAAGGTCACTGGTGTTGGGTGTGTAATGGGACAGGGCTGGATCTGGGGAAAAGCCGTTGCCTTCAGCATATTGTGGCCAATGGTGTATGGGATTATTCAAACAAAACTAAAAAGTGGCAGGCCAGGTATGGAGATATGAATTTTTTTCTCAACCTGGGATCAAACAGAGAAATCACTCATGTTCCCCCTACAGTAACCTTAGTGAAAACAATACAATCTTTCAATGTCATGCAAATCACACCATTCCTCGTAAGGAGAATTACCCTGTACCCTTTGGGGGATACTACTCCTCCTTTGCAAACACCTATATGACAAACGGGTGCAACCCACCCTTCCTGGCCTTAATAGGCCATCACTGGGTGTGTGGGACCAGATCTTATACCGTACTACCAGCTAATTGGTCAGGAATCTGTTATCCCGCCCGACTCTTCCCACAATTCCAAGTGCTGGGAACCTTCCCTCAAGAACGCCTCCGCAATTTCAGGCGAAAAAGAAAGGACTTAACAGATGCCCAATGGTATGTAAAACAACATAAGCCCCTTAACCTGGGAAGAGGCCATTGGCGGTTCCTTAATACCATTAGGGGGAGTAATACATCATGCAAAAAGGCTCCTAAGGTTACAAGCAGTAGTTGAAATAATGGTAAATGAAACCGGAGAAAGTTTAAGAGCCCTGGCCAAAGAAACAGGGCCAGTCCGATACATGGCCCTCCAAAACCGTCAGGCATTGGACATAGTGCTGGCGGCAAAAGGAGGGACTTGTGCTCTCATTGGAGAAGACTGCTGTGTGTATATACCAGACAACACCAATGAGGTAATAGATCGTGCTAGCCACTTAGAACAAATCGCATATCTTCCATAAAGAACTTGGCTCTTCGTGGGGAAGTGGCTAAGTAACCTTTTCAATTCCTCTGGCATAGGAAACTGGTTGTTTCAGGGAACCCTAACTCTCCTGTTTGCAAAAAGAAAAGGAGTACTTGTGGCACCTTAGAGACTAACCAATTTATTTGAGCATGAGCTTTCGTGAGCTACAGCTCACTTCATCGGATGCATACCGTGGAAACTGCAGCAGACTTTATATATACACAGAGAATATGTAAGGTGCCACAAGTACTCCTTTTCTTTTTGCGAATACAGACTAACACGGCTGTTACTCTGAAACCTGTCTCCTGTTTGGAATCCAAATAATTTTTGTATGTTTTCAGTTACTTTCCTGTTGTATCCAAAATTGTGTCAGGCATGCTACACAGATAGCTGCCCCAAACCAGAGTGCTAATTTGATGATTTTAAATATCACTGATGAACAAAGAGATAAAGAACGATTGATATGTGGAACCCAGTCATTGTTGGTCATTGCGTAGCTTGACCAAAAGGAGGGATTGTGAAAGTAGAATGAATTATATTGAAATTATAATTCATTAAAGAAATGCTACTTGAGGGGTTTGTTGAAATATAGTTGTCAGGAAGAGAAATATTAAGGAGTGTGAGACAATGGGTCCTCAAACTAATCAACTTAGAGCTCCTACTGAGCTAGGAGATTGGTAAACGTGAGTATGCAAATAAGATATGTATGTATATTTGTCAGTTTCTGCTTTCTTTTGTCTCTTATGTTAAATTGGCTTTGGCTTAGCTGTATAAATAAGTTATCTTGAGCCTCAGAGAGGGGCTCACATCTGGGTGCATTAGCAAAGCGCTTTGCTAATAAACAGAGTGGTCTGACAAATTATGTGAGTCCTGAATCTGACTTTGACAGAAGCCACAAGAGTGATCCTGTGACCCTCCCCAGGAGTATGTTTCAAGAGGCCTAGGGCAGGTGGCAGAGAGGTAAATCACTGTGGGGCAAGAGGCGGGACTGTGGAAGACCCGGCTAGTGGCTTTTACCCTGCGCCGGGCTCAACTGCTAGTCCTGGCTGGGCTGCGGACAATGGGACTTCCTCTTCTCTTGCATAGCATCTGGGGCCAGGTCAGACCCACCCCCAGATTTATCCCACAGCTGAAGGAAGCTCTGCAAACTCCTTCCCCCCCCCTCTTGCTTCCTACACCCATCGCCCCTCAGCTGCAGGAATCCCTGTACAGGGAGCTGCTCCCCCAACCCCCGTGCATCCAGTTGCCCTCATATGCAGACCCTCCCACCAAACCTCACCCCCCCCACCCAGAAACACTCCCCCAATGAGCCCATTCCCCTGCATCTGGACCACCTAGACAAGCCAGCCATACCTATATCCCTACCCCACCAAGCCCTAGCCAGCTGCATCTGGACCCCCCACTGAGCTCTACCTCCACACACACACACCCAGACCCCCACCGAGCCCCAACCACCTTCACCTGGACATCCCTGCAGAGTCCCATTACTGTTGCACCCAGAAACCCCCCGCCCCCCCAAACAAGCCCTTGTGCATCCAGATCCCCCTGTACCCAGATCCCCCTCTGAACTGCCCGCACTCAGATTGCCCCCACACAGAACCCTCTCAACCCACACCTGGATCCCCCCACATTAGGCCTCTCCGTACTTGGATCCTGCCTTGCTGAGCCTGCCTTCCCAAACCTGGTGAACCTGAAGCAGTGGTGCAGGACCCTAGCGTGTTTCTGGGGCAGGCCCAGTCTTTATGCTGTGTCAGGGTTGGGTGCAGCCTCACTGTTGAGTCAGTGACCCGGGGGAGGCTGCACAGTGATCTCCCACCTCTGTGCAGCCAGTGCCCTGTGCTTCCCAATTCCATGCTGGAGCCTCCCCATTTATTTGACAAATAAAATTTGCAGAATTTTAAAATATTGTGTGCATAATATTTTTGGCAAAGAATTTTTAATTTTCTGGAGCAGAATGCCCTCAGGAGTAATGTGGGAAAGATAGTTATATAGCAAGAAAGAAGCCTCATAGCCTGACAGCACAAGCCCCTCCATATGTATACCAACCACTTTCATATTTGGTTAAGTCTAATTTCAAAGTGACATCAGAAAAAAGTATTTTCTAGTTTCAGCTCTCTTCCATTCAAACAAGGATCTCCAATTAGCTTCACTTACCAGAAGTTTAGCTTGTTCGGGCAGTGAAATTTGTTCCCTCTTTCCATCTGGATACCTTAGCATCAGCTGTGCCTTTGGTCCTAGTGTAAAGTAAATTGCTACAGGTTAACAACAGGGCATCTGAATTGAGCTCTTTTGCACTTCACTCTAAGGGAGAAGAGGATTAGTGAGTGGAAATTAACACACAAAAGTCTTAAAGGTGAGCTGCAAAGCTTGGTCCATGAAGATGAACTTCTGTTACATGTATTTTTTAATCAAAATCCCTGTTTTCATTATTTTTTTTTAAGTTAAAACCAGTGACTGATACTGCTCCTCCCCCCCCCCCCCCATCTCCACAGGGAAACCACAGCAAAGGGAATTTAAGGTGCAGCCCTCTGCTGACTTCATAGCCATTTGCATGCCAAACTGATGCCATTCCCCTCTCTTCAGTGCACTCTCTACTTGAACATTGCTGCACTGTCTTGTGGAAAACTGCTGTAGTCCTACTGCCTACCAGCAGAGAAAGCCAGGGTGTGGGTGTGGGGGTGTAGAAATTTTGAGGTCCATCTACACTAGGAAAACGTGCACCGATACAGCCACACCAGCGCAGATATGCTGCATAAGTGCAAAATGGACTTACATTTGTGCAGTGTACCTCACTACGCACATCTACATTACACAAATGCCAATTTCTCTAATATAGATGGGCCCTCAGACCAATAGAAACTCAGAATACAGTTCAGTGATTAACAGGTTCTTGACGTTTGTGACGTCATTTCATGCTGCTGAAAGTAGAGGGACGTATCCAAACGGCAAACTTTAAGGATAAAGACCAAAAAGGTGTTCTTAAAATTAGGATTTAAGCATGCTTGATAATATAAAAAGGCTGTTGCAAAGCTTTTTAAAAAAAATTTAAGTTACATTTAAAGGGGAAAGCTCACCATTCAGATCCAATCCCTCCACTGCACTTTCAGGCTTGTCAGCTGATTCCTCCAGTATCCCAGCATCAATACAGGACACTACTCGATGGTTTGATGTTGTTCCAGGATCAGTCCTTGTGGGAGGCTCAGGTGGAGGCCTCCGGCTCTCCTCTTTCCTACACCCCAAGTCCTTGTGTGGAGACTTCCTAGACTTGGCAGGATTCTCGGACTCATCATCATCATCGGAGCCACAAACAGAAATAAATTCCTCACTTCCAGAGAAAAGCTCAGATTCAGACTCCTCATCTGATCGGCTGTCCTGTTTGACCTGGGAGGAATCAAAATGTGTCTCCTGCAGGGAGGCCCTGATGGCAGCTTCCATCTGGCTATCCTCACTAGCATCAATGAGGCTCTCCTGTTTGATGTAGCCATAACACAGAAACAAAAAAAAAAACCCAAAAAACAACAAATAAGCAAAATATTTTAACAGGAATTAGAGGACTTTAACAAAGGGTTCTCAGGTGACATCTGATAGGTGTGTAATGATTAAATGGTGTGGCAGCCAGCTGTTCTACTATTTTAAAGCCTGCATTTCTCCTTTTTGAGGAATACGTAAATTCTCCACAATTGACATCTCCCCCTCCCCCACTCCACTATATTCTCTGAAGCAATGCTGATCATGGAGTAATGTCTATTCCAATCATTCCCAAACCTTCATAATATGGTGGATCACCTGCACTCTTCCAACTGTCCAGTCTTGATTTCCATATTGCAGCTACAGTATTTGTCTGCATGGAAAAGTACTAAAAGGTCTATAATAAAGAGGCAAGTTGTAATAAGCTCCCTTTAATGTGGTGGTCCCAAACTTTTCATGTAACACCCTCCCTTATCTCTGCTGCCTCCCACCTCCCAGGAGGGACAGTCGGGAGCCATGGCCAGGGCTCCTGGGAGAGGGGAAGGTGCGGAGGTAAGGGGGCTGAGGATGGGGCCAGAGCTGCAGCTGGGCCAGCAGTCAGTGGCGGGTGGCCTGGGGAGGGTCTGCAGTTGGGCACAGGGGGCAGAGAGGGTGGGTAGTGCCCCCTCCCACGAACATTCCTCTGAACCCCCTTAAGGGGCTGTGCCCCAGCGTGGGGATCACTCTTTTAATGTGATCTGTGCAGCTGCTGGATGAACCTCTCCTTCTCTCAGGGCACAGGAGTTGACAGTTCTAATCCCAAGTTTTCTTTAGTTGCCAACCTAGTCTTTCCAGATCACTCAGTAGTTTGGTTCTATCCTCTGCTTGCAACCCCTTCAATATGTTTTTTGCAAATTTCATCACGGCTTAGTTTATACTGAAGAATCACTCAAAAGACACAAACAAAACTACTGCACAAGTTACAGCAAGGTGCTTGGGTTTTAGTTTAGTTGCTCACAAAAAACTCTGGAAACTGTAAGAATCCAGGTCTGGGGTACAATTAGCAGGAAAAACAATTGTGTAAAGAGTGACAGAAGCGTCATCATTTTGAAAGAGGCAATTCTATTGAGATTAAGTAATCTAAACAGGAAATTATGCATTCTACACTTTTCATGGATTAACTCCAGTACTGAAATTTGTATTAGCTTACTGAAAGTCATTCTGCACGACATTAAAATCACAATGAGTATTTTTAAAAAGTTTCCTTTTAGGATTATTGTATTCTAGAAAACTGTACAAGTGAACCAGGTGGTGGGAGAACAAGCACTAGTGCCAAGTACCTGTACTTTCCTCTCACCTTTATTTTCAGTCCGTCCTTCCAAGACACCAATCCTACCACTTAGTCTTATTTTATTTGGAGGTGTGGGGTTGTGAGGTTATGGATACCACAGATGGTTGAAAACCCAACTACAGAGAAGAACAAACATTTTCCCCACCCCCATACTATCTATCAAATAAACAACATTTAAATTATAGTGCACCCTTTCTAATATTTAGACCTCAGAATTCACATCCACCAAACCTCTCATTTCTACCTAGCAATTTTAACAACAAAAGTGCCGTAGTGAAAGCTCACATTACTATGGCTATTACATTTGTAACAAATACTATAGATTATGTAGCATCGAATAAAACAAAACTACTGATCAAAAAGGAGAGAAAGTACTTTCTCTGATGCATTATCTGCATGTTTTGTGTTTTTACTCACTTGCTAGTTCACACAAGTCTATTTGTATTTCCCATGCAGAGGGGTGAGAGGTTCTACTGGACCAGACACAATGTGCTGAGTTTTCCTCTTTCCCTCCCCCTACCCACAAGGCCCTATACTTACAGAGCGGGAACATTTTTGGGGAGGGCTGGTAGAATGTCCATCCAGTTGCCCATGCTCACCCAGGAAACCAGTCACTTGGTCCAAGAAAGAAGTTACATCCAGTTGGTGCCACTCCACTAATTTCTGGCCTATGAAAAACATAGGAACATTGGACTGCATTTCACTGAGGGGGACCCTCAAGAGATTTTTGCTTAGCCACAAGGAGCATAAAACAAATTTATCTTAAAGCACATAATACTTATTAGTTTTTATAAAGATCCAATTTTGGTCTGCAAAACTGATGAGGTGGTGAGGAGGCAAGGGTGGATTTATGGAGGACCCTACATTATTTTTATACTAAAGGTCAGCAGTTTCCTTTTCTCCAAAGCTTTCACACCTTCTAAAGAGCCTCATTCTTGGCCCTACCAAGCTAGAGGTATGAGCCGGTCTCCATTTAAAGTGCTGATCACAACAGAAGTAATGGCTTCTTTCCTGTATGCAAGAATGTATGCATACCACACATAATGAATGGAATGTTAAAATTCAAGTTTTGAGAAAATAAATTCACAGCTAAGATTTCTTCAGTGTGCATAACTCAATCTTTTGCCTAGATGGATCTGACATCCCAATCTGCGAGCTCTCTTTCCATAAATGTAACTCACTACAATATACATTTATTTGTTTTCTACCTTAAAAAAAAAATGGGGAAGATTACAAGGCTGGAGAAGCAAACAAAACTAAGGCCTAATTCTATACAACAGAAGGTTAAATGGAAAAATCCTAATACAACTGCAAGGTCTTTCTTAAGCTTGCAATGAAAACGCCAGTGAAGGGAAGGGAGTAGATATCAGAACCTGGTTTTCCTATAGCCACATACTAAGTGGCTAGTTCTAAACAGAATAGCAAGGTTTGGAATTCTCAAAGGGCTGCGGCCCACCGGGAATAAAGACTCCTAAGTAAACTGCAATTCAGTCCCTTTGGAAGGAGCACTAGAGAGAAGTTACTCTTATAACCTTAGTTATATGTATAACCTTCGTACATAAAAGTCAAGAGCATTATCTGAGCCTGAGTTTCGGTAATGCAGATTCTTTTATTGTTATCAAGCGGTAAGAAATCTCAGGTCAGCATTCATTACAGAAACCAATAATTCAGTATGAAGAAATTGAGGACCAGTAATGGTTTGGAGGGAAGGGAAGAGAATCAGAAAATTCCTTGGGGACCTTAAAAAGCCAAAAAAAAACCAGTAGATTAATTTTGTCTAGCATTCCAAAAAAAAAAGGGTCAAAGCCAAAAGCAAACAAACAAAATATTGTACTGATATTTGAAAATTAAGATGTGACTAAAATAATAATTTCTGAGCCTCCTGGTAGTGACTAACATGCTACTATGACATTAACTTTTGATTTGCAGTGTTGTTGTAGCAGTGTTGGTCCGAGGATATTAGAAAGACAAGGTGGGTGAGAGTATTTTTTATTGGACCAACTTCTGTTGGTGAAATTGGCAAGCTTTTGAGCAATACAGAGCTCTTCTTCAGGTCAGTTTGAAGACTAAGACCCTAAAAGTAAGTAACTGACTTCAGATTTGCATCACTCAAGCAGAGAGAAATGAAAATAGTAAACAAGGAGCACCACTAATGAGTGAACAGATTTTTAAAATTATTTCACTTTTAACAGCCTAAGGTGTTTTTAATACCACAAGTAAAGAAATATTTGTTTATAACATGGTTTAAATTAGCCCTTTAAAGGGCACTTCAAAGCCAGTTCATGATTTGGCCATGAAGTGTTATCAATTTTGTTTTCCAAATGGATAGATAAAGTTAGCAACCTAAACTGAAATCAAGTGTCACTACGCAAAATTTGTGCAGAACTTGAATTATTATTCATTTAGTTCTTTTGTTAGATTTTTAGTCCACATAATCTTTAACGGCTTCAATACCTCTCAGAGAATGCTGCTGTTTGTGTACAGACCTTTAGAATGTTACAATGTAATTTACATGTTTTAACCCATATTAACTAGCACTGCCAAAAACAAGCAGAACTAAATATTCCAGATTACAATCAGCAGTCTGTCTGAAGATCATATATATTGTCCTTTCTCTTACCTGTCCTCGGGTCCAGAATGGAGACATAAGGGAAATCTGCCAGTTTATAAAACTGTATGTATCTCTGTCCTTCCTCACTGTCATGGTATACCTACAGACCACCACATTTGAAAAAAGTTAATGCCTCAAAACTGAACAAAACGTGTCTTTATTTTACCATATACTCTACAGTTTGTAAGTACACAATTCCCATTAACTCTTCCAAACATTAGTATGTGGATTTTATTAGCGTAGAAAGGTCATAGACCCAAAAAGGCTAGTTTTGAACACATGGCTTTTAAAACTGTTTTAATATACACTCATTTCGGTAATCTGAGATTAAATCCACAGTTCCATCTTTCTTGGCAGTTCTTAGAGAGCACTGGGTTTTGTTTTGTTTATAAATTACAAGAGGCTTGATTTTGTTGTCTCACTCCCATCAACTCCTATCTTCAACGTATCTCTATTAGCCTCTCACCTGCCAAAAAATGAAATGCTCCCGGATAATGTTCTTCACAGCCTCGTTGCTCCAGACGTCACGGTTAAGACACTGGCATGCAAAGTCCTGCACATTCTGGATGTTAATCATGAGCCATTTATTCTGCATCTGACCACACTCTTTGGCCTTCAAGCAGACAGAAATAATACATTATTTAAAAACAAAAGGCTAGACAGAAACAATGTCAGCAACGATGGGTTGATTTGTGCACCAGGTTTCACCAAAACCCCTTTACAGTAGAAAGGATGATCAGGACTAGCAAAAGTCATCCTCAAAACACCTGACAAACAAAAGGCAGGGCTAGAAGACCTGCTTAACTGCAGTTCAAGTTGGCTAAATGTATTAAAAAAAAATAAAATAAAAAAATCACACTTTGGTTAACTGAGATCAACAAGCCAAGCCCAGAAGGATAGGGAAAGGAAGCAACTTGAGAAGCAAAAGACTGAAAATGGAAAAAAATCTGAATTAACCATTTGTTCAGAGAAAACAGAGTGAAGTGAGTCACATCTGATAGCATAGGAAAGACCTGGTTACTCAAAAGGAAAGCCTGTAGACCCTTTTTCTGTGTAAATAGGCTAAAGCTACTGACTGGGGACTTGTATTTATACAACAGCCCCCTTTTTCCACTCTTCATTTTTTCTAGATTTTATGTTGTTAAACTTAATTTTGGTGTGACTGCCAAAACAGGAGTCATTTTCTGATGCTCATTCAGACTGCAAGTGGAGGGAGGGTGAGGGGGGAAAAGAGATGGGAGGGTTTGAAGTCGCAGGAAGAGATCTTACTGGTTTGAGTCACAAAGCTGGCATTGTCTGATTGGTTGGTTGCAAGTTAATGGTAGGAGTTTGATCAAGAATGTAATTCTGATCGCTGAATTGTCAAACCTGTTGAAAAAAAGAGGGCTTTATCAAAAGCAGGAATGCTCATATCTCCAGGATAGATTGGAAATAGTGATGAACTTTCCTTAAAAAAAAAAAAAAAAAGATTTACTTACATGAGTTTGCACTAACTGCATTACTCACAAGGGGGGAAAAAGGCAAATTCAAAGTTTAGGGTATTTCACCAGATTTTACTGTTTTCTTCAGAACCTAAGCTTTAACTTTTAGAATGAAGTTTCTTGTCTTGTCTACCCACTCATGTCAATGAATTGTAAATTTAAAACCTCAGTATTACCATTCCAATGCTAATACCTCATTTAATTGGTAATTCAGTTAGGGCCTGTATATGTTAAGGAAAGCTGGTTCAAGTTTACTTACTGTACACAGGACCTCACATTAAACACCTAGGTAATAAGATTTCTGCCTGGCCAGATGACAGACCAATTGTGGCCTGATTTTCCATTCACTTTAAAGGACATCATACAGAAATTAGGTGCACGTAGGATATGCCAGTACTCTTGCATATTCACATAATGAGCACTTCAGTACTTATCTTTAAAGTGCTTCTCATTCATTAGTTAATCCTCACAACACTCCTTGGGCACCTATTTAACAGAAGGCGAATCTAAGTAAGTGGCCTGATTTTTCAATATGCTCACCGGCTCCAAAGGAGACAAACCTTTTATTTAAGAACCGAAATACAGATTTGGATGTCTAATTTTTGGAATTATGACTTGCCCAAGGCTCAGGGGAAAATCCATATCAGAATGTATATTTAGACCCAAGAGTCCTGGTCCCAGTCCTGTGCTCTGACACCCAACGCTGCTGGATTACAGGGACAATGACTAAGAGGTCTATTCTGTCTGCAGTTTCTCTCCTACTCATTACATATAGCTAAATTACTATTAAAAAAAAGACTCAAAGGTGTTTTTCTAATTTTCTAATTCTAATTTTTCTACTTTTGTGTGTATTTGCCAGCGTTTTGTGTAATCAATTTCACTCCCCTCCCACCCAAATATAGTCACTTTCCCCTTTAAAGTTTGTGAACAAGAAAAACCCATACTATGTATTTACAAAAACAAGTCTACAGAGATTGATTGGGAGGGCGGGGGGTTGGAGGGGCAGGGGAGAGAAAAGGGAGGGAGAGGGGGAGTTCTTCAGGGCAGGTGTAATGCCAGAATTACTTTAAACTCATTTTTTAAACTGATCAGATTTTATACTGTGTCCTTTCAAGTAGTAAGACTCTTGCAATTACCTTTATTTATAATAAAAATTGAGTTTACAGCATTAGACAAGCACTGGACTCCCAGAAATGACTTGCAGTACCTGAATTTTCTACAAAACTTGAACCTAGTTCAATAGCAGTCACTATTTACTTTAATAATGTGATGAATATTTCTGAATGACTCCTTTTTTATTACTGAACTAACTGGAACTAGTATCAAGTTTATTTATTTATTGGAACCCTATTGTGCCAAGTGCTATACAAATACAGACTGTCTGTTTCAAAGAGTTTGCAGTTTAGACACAAAAGGGAAAGGAAAGAGGCACAGACTTGTCCAAGGTCACAACAGGTCAGTGGTAGAGCCAGAAATAGAATCCCCAGTCCCCTGATCCCTGCCTGGTGCCCCATCTACTGAACCATACTGCCTCTCCAATGTATGATAGAATGTGACCAAGAAGAAAAGTTGCACATTTAAAAAGACAGCATCTTCTCAGAGTTCTCTTGTTTGTATGTGGTAGAGTGAAACAGGAGGAGTCTGAACTGGTTGATCCAAACAGCTGGTCATATTTGGTGTTCCATTTATACCAAGCAGCCCTATAGCTCTGTATTTGTTGTTATTAGAAACAGAAATTCATAAGTATTTTACTAATTAAGTTACACAAATAGAAATTCACTGACTCATGGGATTGAACAAGATTAAAGGACAGCCTAATTTGGCCATCAGAACCTTTATTATATGTGAGGATAAACAAACCCAAACTTTACTTAGAGCAAGACTGATAGTTTGAAGACATCTTTTTAACCTGAAAAACTAACAGTATTTGATATGGACACAAAGACAACATTGAGCTCTACAACATAATTTTTATTAGGCTTTTCAAAGAAGCGACACACTTTTAAGGTTCAAATAAACGTTTTACTCATTAAAAGTTCAGAACCAGATGCCACATGGCTAGTTGCTTACACACATCTAAGAATGCACTGAATCCTGACCACCAGATTCCTAGCTATGCCAGCTTCATGTGTATCATGAGCAGATACTGCTAATTACACCTACAATGCTTGTGGGCGTAGAAACATACAAAAGGCCTGTGACATACAAAAGCGTTCTTTTGGGAGTAGGATGAAACCAAGTGTTCACTTATGATCCTCTCAAGAGCTATTCAGCAAGAACTCAACGCTCCTTTTAACCATGACTAAACCTTCCTCTTATTAGTCCCAACCCCTTGATCTGTCCCTGAATCGCCTCCCAATTCCCATCTTCACACTCTACGTGCATATTTCCCTCGCCTTCAAGTACTCTACAGTAACTCCTATCATGAAGTGCCTCATTTCACCTCTCCTCTATTTCATTACCCTAATTGGATCCATGTACAACGACAATATTTAGTGTTGCAGTGGTTTAGTGCATGGGCTCAACTCCATTTTAATTGTTTGGTCCATGCAGAAGTCTACATTAAGGAAAAAGATTAGTTGCAAGGCTGAATATGGCAGAGTCAGGAAATGCCAATGAGAATGTTTGAATAATCTCAATTCTGCCTCCTTGTGCATAAGGCATGCAATTACAGACTATTACTTGCTCACATACTATTTCTCAAACACAACACACACTTTCTACAGTTTCAGAGACACTTCAGTGCTTAAACATGCAATCTTAATGCTTTCAACACAGGCTTATGGTGTGTGTGGAATTTCCTAGTTATTTAAAAAGAAAGGTGGGGGTGGTTTCAAGCTGTTTAAGACTGTAACATATTGTTGTTAGTAGTATGTTCTGAGCCATGGACCTCTTGAGATCTGCAAGAATGAATCCCCCGTCCTGTTTACTGAGGAGCCCTTTTCCACAAACATGAGGAGTTGCAGAGAGCCCTCACCTGCAAACCTTTAGGTGTTCGTGTACAGCAACTCCCGCTATTACTTTAAAAGGTCTGCAACAATGGTTCTCAACCTTTCTAGACTACTGTACCCCTTTTCAGGGATCTGATTTGTCTTGCATACCTCAAGTTTCATCTCACTTAAAAACAACTTCCTTATAAAAGCAGATAAAAATACAAAAAAGTGTCACAGCACACTATTACTGAAAAATTGTTTCCAATCTCATTTTTATATAATTATAAAATAAACCTATTGGAATATTATACTTACATTTCAGTGTATAGTATACAGAGCAGTATAAACAAGTCATTGTATGAAATTTTAGTTTGCACTGACTTCACTAGTGCTTTTTATGTAGGCTGTAGTAAAACTAAGCAAAAATCTAGATGAGTTGATGTACCCCCTGGAAGACCTCTGCGTACCCCCAGAGGTATGCATACCACTGGTTGAGCACCATTGGTCTACAGGACTAAATCAGGTCTCTTACACAATCCTTGCCTCAACCTATGTACACCCTCACAATACAGCCAAGTAAACCACATGCAGATAGTATGTGCATAAACGCAATAAACTCTACGTAAAGTGCACTGATCACATGAAAAATGGGTCATAACTTGATCAAAGACACATCAATACTCACTGGAACATTCAAAGGCATTTTTTCCTCAACAAAAGCTACTTTCAATGCCAAAATTGAATTTTCTATCCATAACAGTTTAAACCAGAGGTGGGGGAATGGCTGGTGCAAAAAGTTGCAATTTTTTAAATTGTATTTTTTTTTAATAGTTGGAAATGCTTTTTTCCCTCCCTCTCTCTACATGTATTTAAAAAATGAGAACTGGTCATGACAGAAAACCTCAAAAAACATTAAGAAGTGCGTAAGTTAACTTAAGTTGCAGATGAAAACTGGAAAATTTCAGCCCAAAGAGATGAGCTACAAAAATCTGAATGACTGAAAATAAGGGATTGAATAGAACTGCTCACACAACCTTCACTAGAGTGGACACTGCCACTCCTGCTATCTTTTGTGTAAATGTCACAATAAGCTATGGCCCCGCCCCAGAGGAATTTAGCATCTAAATATTTATTTAGATAAGATAATACCAAGATCTGAGGGCGTAAGCAGTACGAAACATTTGTTCTTAGATATTTCTGGAGGCAAAAACTTTAGCTTATGACCATTAGAACTGTCACATTAGATTTACTCGATTTCATAAATGTATCATGTAGTCAGGTACATGGAGGGGGGTTAGCTAGAAGTGAGTTTTGAGGAAGGTCTAGAAAACTGTGTGGTTATCAGGTATACAAAAGGAAGGAGGCTGTCCCAGGCTTAGGAGTAACATAAAAGAGCGAAGATGACAAAGAACATGGAAGCGAGGATAGTGGTTAACTGATGGACAGGAGAGTGATTTGGGGATGGGGGAAAAAATAAGTTCCTCTAGGAGCCCTAGTCATGGATCAGCTGTACAAACAGAACAAAAAAGATGGTGCCTGCCCCAATAAGCTTACCATCTAGTCTTTGCCACATTACAATTGAGTTGTTGGGACACCAGGGTGAGATGCCAGATGCAGTCACACTTGTAAAACTGAACAAAGAGGCAGAGGTCACAAGTGAGTGGAGGTGTAGACTTGGAAGCAGTTAGATACCTGTCCTTGTGCTACCTCATCCCCTCTCAAGGGTTCAGTGCATTCAGAAAGAAGAGAAGAGCACAGAGGAACACTGGTGATGAAATATTGATCTGTGAGACAGGAGAACCAGGCAATTACAATGCTCTGGAATTCCTCAGAGAGGGAAGAGCGAGGACAATATTGATTATGATGATACTTGATCTGTGGAATACTATTTCCGTCACCACCATGCTTCTGCGCAGAAAGATCATGATTCTGCACAGACATCTGGTACCCAGAGCACCTATAAAGAAAACCTTTAGCCACAGCATCTTTCCTGAATTTAAACAACTAGGATTCTTCCATCCTGGTCAGCTTCACTCATGCACTGAAATCTTTCACCAGTGGCATCTGCGCAACTTCACATTTAAAAAAAAAGAAAAAGAAAAGAGTGTGGGCCAGGGAAGAGAACAGTGGATAACAAGCCCACCCTTTTCAGAAATCAGTTACTACTTGCTAAGATCAGTCCTATATAACTCATAAAATTACTACCACATGCAAGTGCTAGCTGCCAATATTTAGAAGCAGACTATTTTCTTGTAATTTATTGTATGATCATGTTATAAATCAATTTGGATATGCATGCTGATGTAGGGCTTACAAGCTATGCCCAATTAATACATAGGTAGTCTTACTGAAAGACAGAAACCTACCGTTTCAAAGCTGCCTTTGTGCATCAGATCGATGGGAGGCCTGAAGAGGTCTGCAAGGGTAGTGAGTTTCTTATCTATTGCACCTCCATTCCGCAGCTCCTGCTCCTGTCGAACTATACAGCCCCGGGAGGAACAGGATTTGAATTAGACAAAATATTCAAAACAGTACGTTACAGTGCCTTCACCCCCATTCCCTGGATACAAATTCACCTGGTTGAAATAATTTTAAAAGGTTACAAAGTCCACAGGCCAAGTTTTTTTTTAAGACAGGATCCTAAAGTGAGGATTCTAAATACATAACAAGGCAACTAAGTGCTCTGATTTTCTGAAGTGCTGAACACTTAACTCTCATTGATTTAAATATATTTTGATTTGTAAAATGTACACATTAGTAGGATCTGCTTGTGAAAAATCATGCAACTTATTCTGGTTCCCAGATATGGATTTACTAGTCTAACTTTAGGCTCCTGTTTTTCAAATATTGACCTACATCCAAAAATATTTCTGGTTTGATCTTTCACCGGTTCCCTCACCTTCACAAACATCAAAGGACCCCTTTGACAGAATCAGATATTTCTTCACATAAATAGAATATTCTTTGAAACTCACATTTATCGTAGAGCCAAGCTCTACGATACAACCGCATTTGCTCCAACTACTCAGACAGAGACAAACACCTACGAGATCTCTATCAAGCGTTCTTACAACTACAATACCCACCGGCTGAAGTGAAGAAACAGATTGACAGAGCCAGAAGGGTACCCAGAAGTTACCTACTACAGGACAGGCCCAACAAAGAAAATAACAGAACGACACTAGCCGTCACCTTCAGCCCCCAACTAAAACCTCTCCAATGCATCATCAAGGATCTACAACCTATCCTGAAGGACGACTCATCACTCTCACAGATCTTGGGAGACAGGCCAGTCCTTGCTTACAGACAGCCCCCCAGCCTGAAGCAAATACTCACCAGCAACCACTCACCACACAACAGAACAACTAACCCAGGAACCTATCCTTGCAACAAAGCCCTTTGCCAACTGTGTCCACATATCTATTCAGAGGACACCATCATAGGGCCTAATCACATCAGCCACCCTATCAGAAGCTCGTTCACCTGCACATCTACCAATGTGATATATGCCATCATGTGCCAGTAATGCCCTTCTGCCATGTACATTGGCCAAACTGGACAGTCTCTACGTAAAAGAATAAATGGACACAAATCAGATGGCAAGAATTAAAACATTCAAAAACCAGTCGGAGAACACTTCAATCTCTCTGGTCACTCGACTACAGACCTAAAAGTGGCAATTCTTCAACAAAAAAACTTCAAAAACAGACTCCAACAAGAGACTGCTGAATTGGAATTAATCTGCAAACAGGATACAATTAACTTAGGCTTGAATAAAGACTGGGAGTGGATGGGTCAATTACACAAAGTAAAACTATTTCCCCATGTTTATTCCTCCCCTGCCCCTGCTGTTCCTCAGATGTTCTTGTCAACTGCTGGAAATGGCCCACCTTGATTATCACTACAAAAGGTTCCCCCCCCCACCTCCACCTTCAGGTAAGGTGAGCTATTACCAGCAGGATCACTCATTACAGTGTGTATGGTAACACCCATTGTTTCATGTTCTCTGTGTATATAAATCTCCCCACTGTATTTTCCACTGAATGCATCCGATGAAGTGAGCTGTAGCTCATGAAAGCTTATGCTCAAATAAATTTGTGTTAGTCTCTAAGGTGCCACAAGTCCTCCTTTTTTTTTTTTTTGCGGATACAGACTAACACGGCTGCTACTCTGAAACTTGACATTTAACATTAAATCCTTTCACTGATAGACTTAGTTACTGCAACCTCTTATAGGTCAGAGGTTCTCAAAATTCTTTCTATAGTCTACACCACACTTTGAAAAACAGTGTCCTCTGGATACCACTTCTCCCATTCATGACCATGGAGGCCACCTTGCATGCCCATCTGTGATCACATGAAATCTTTGGGGGAATTACAGCAATTGCTTACCTAAAAAAGCAAATTCACAAAGTATTTTATGCAGTTTAGCAGCTGGAAATGGGGAGCCAGGACCATGTGATCAGCCAACTCTCCACTAGACACAAGCAAGTGGACAGTGGACCAGAGTACAGAAGCCTCCTGTACCTGTAAATATCACTATTTTGCCGCCTCTGGAAACATGTCTGCAAACATTAAAGGCCAGATTAGTGTCAGACTTTAACTATTACGTTTCCAGCTTTCATTTAGGTGAAAAAAGCTTTTGGTGTATTTATGTATTTTTATTGAATTTTATTAAGTTAGAGGAGAGAGAATGTGTAACTGGATCATATATCCTTCTTCAAGAGCTACTGCTGACATGGTGGAATGCTTCCAGATTCAAAGACATTTAGTATAGGGATATGAAAGAATTAAACATTGCCTGCAATATTAATCACTTTTAGTAACACACATCATAGTAACAGACAAAAGGTTGTGTTCCATCTAACTGACCCATGCTGGTGATCATGGAGCTGTAGTGTCCACTTTTTATGCACCAGCATGGGCCATTCCACTTTGGATTATTGTAAGGATGTGTCAAAAAACATTTTGGAACATCTTCCTTTGTGGAAACAGAGTAATTAGAGTAATGGAACCCTAAATTCCACTGTGTTGTTTAATCTACCACTTCCCAGTACATTACTAAACTTTAACATAGACTCCTCAGTTTGTATATCTTTTGTTCAAATAATATGAAGCACACTGTCTGAGACTATGTGTTGGAGTCAAAAAATGTGGTTATGCAGTAGGGTATAGGTTATTAACAGAGAAGCCAATGACACTACCTTTAAATACATTATTATTAAAGAGTCTGACTGGGACCCTTTGAAAAATGCCAGTAGAAGATTGTCAGCTTTTTGTTCAGTGTTCGTACAGTGCCTTGCACAAAGGGGTCCTGGTCCATGACTAGGGCTCTTAGGCACTACAGTAATGCAAATGATTAACAACAATAAAAGTTATTAAGGCTGCATTTGTCACAGCTGCCAAAGGAGTCATTTTTTGAAATTTTATGATTTAGAAGAGTCTATTACTTTTGTCATTTGGAGATTTTGCACGTGGGTGGGTGGATGTAATGGTAAATGGCTAAACAAATTCATGGAGAACTTCGTGTGCTGCCAAGTAAAACCCAGGACTAATCTGAAGACTAATAAGAGTGCGGGCAGAGCAACAGTGGCCACACAAAAGACCAGATTAGTAAATGAGAGCTTTAATTCCCCTAGGATTCTTGAGTTCTTTCCCCACCGTTCCATCCCCCACCACCAAAGGAAAAAAATGCTTTTGAAGAATTAGATTGGGTTATCAAAGTCCATTCTGGTATGGCAAGTACTTTACTCATATGTCCAGTACTGCCACAGAGCACACACAGATTTTTTTGTTTTATAAGATTGGAGGTATGTATCAGGGTCACAACAAGGTCCACTAGTATCTGCCAAGATTCATATTTCCATGACTTGGAATCTTCATCATAATCACCCCACAACTATTTAAGATTGCATGATTATAAAAGCAGTCCTCACTGTGACACTAGTATCCGTGGGGAGACAGCTGTAGTTAATAAATAGACATACCTTTAATTATAAAAGTAGTAATGGCACCACTACAATTAAAGATTAATAAAGTAGTTTTAGAATAGAATATTGCCTACTTCACTGGAAATTCCAATCTCATTTAAAATTAAAAATTGTTTGATGACTGCAGCCAATGATCATGGCCAATAGCAGATAACTCTGTTCATTCCACACCACAAACTAGAAACCCTACCATAATGAACTACAGATACTTACTGGTTTCTGTTTGAAAATCCCGAAAACCATCAAATATTGAACGGGCAGGTCTGCGTCGTTTAGGAGCTTTAAAAAATAAAAAAAGATCTCTCATATGTAATTTCAAAGCTAGATTGTCAAAGAATTACTTTTGAATGATGGCTTACCACAAATTTGTGATGCAAAAGACTGAAGACCCAAAGCATTAATAAGGAGGAAGGTCACTGGGGCAGGGTAGGGGGTAACCAGAACAACAGACACAAGTATCACCATATTTTACTTTAGGATATCCCCCACAAGAGCAAGTCTTTCCTCAAAGCAAATCCAGGTTGCTGATGAAAGCAAGTAAAATGCTGGGCCTCCCATTTCTGATATGCTTGTACATACCCATGCTGATTGCTTTTCTGCCATGCTGCCCAATGTAGTATTTAATGAAATAATTCTTACCACACTGAACCCAAAACATAAAATAGGGACCCTCTTTAGAAAATAACTATGTGTCCTGTAGGAGTAATAATGGAAAACCCTCTAGGAAGGCAGCTACTCCCAGGGTTCTCCAATTTAGTTCTGTCAGGCCTCTCACCCACATCATCTTCTTGGCTGTTGGGTGGGGTGGGCAATACCTGGATTCAAAAGGAGGAATCTTGCTATTACCCTATCCCCAAGCAAACCCCTCTCAAGGAGCTCTATGCAGTTGCCTCTGGGCACAAAAGGAGGGGCAGAGATACTGGTCCAATTCTCTGTCTGGGCAATTCACTCACACGGACCTCTGTAATACCAGGATAAAGGGCTGGGCTGAAGTCACCTGGCATTACTATCTATAGCTGCTGCTCCAAAGTACTCCTGATGGGGCCATAAGACAAGACACCATAGAGCGATTTATTTCAAATTTTTGTCTGCCTAGGAATGGTCATTTTTAACAATTAAGACAGTATTTTCCAAGTAATTCAGTTACAGGAGATGTTCAAACACTCAAAGTAAATGGAAAGAGGCCACCATACAAATTAAACTTAAAGCCTGTTTTTAAAAAATCCATTTGCAGGGAGACTGGTTGAACTAATGGGCATTGCCTACTCCTGAGGGAATTCTGCACCAAAAAATTAAAATTCTGCATAATTCTGCATATTTTATTTGTCAATAAACAAACATATATACATGAAGGTTCCAGCATGGCAGTGGGGAGCACAGGCCACTGGCAGCATGGAGGTGCGAGATCACCCTGCAGCCCTCCCCCACCCCAGGACAAGAACTCGGCAGTGAGGCTGCACCTGACTCTGACACAGCATGAAGGCCACGCCTGTCCCAGAACGGTGTACCAAGACAGTAAGCAAGAGGGACAGAGTCTCGCACACCCAGCTCTAGCCCCCAAACTAGGTGTGGGGCAAGCAGGCTCAGCCCAGCAGGATCCAAGAATGGAGATGCTTAGTGTGGGGGGATCCAGATGTTCGGTGAGAGGGTTCTGTGTGGGGCAATTTGAATGCTCAGGAGCTCATTGAGGGGGTTCCAGGTGTGGGGGAAGAGGTCCTGGTGAAGGTAACTGGGGCACAGGGGGGTCTGGATGTGGGGGGGATGGAGGCTGGGGGGGGCAGGTGCTCGGGGTGGGGGGCTTGATGAGGTGGAGGTCCAGGCGCAGCTGGCTGGGGCTCAGTGGAGTGGAGGTCTAGGTGCGAGGGCTTCTTGGGGTGGGGTCCAGGTGTAAGGGAGGTGGGGCTCAAGTGCAGGGGGCCTCAGTGAGGGTTGGTCTGAGTGCAGGGGGAGGTCTTGGTGAGGGTCCAGAGGGCTCTGGATGAAAGGGGGAAAGGCATGGTGGGGTGGGGAGTCAGGTATGGAGGGTGGTCTGGGTGCAGGAGTGGGGACTGGATGCAGGGGGGGAAGGGCTTGGTGGAGGTCTGGATGCACAAGGGGTTGGGCAGAGGGGGGACGAGCAGTTCCTCATACAGTGACCCCTCCCCCTGTGGGCTGAGGAGCAATGGGGACAGGAAGCGGGGAGGCCTGGGGAAGTGCAGAGCTCCTTAGAGCCTGGGAGGTTTCTGGGGGTGGGTCTGATCTGGACCAGGCCACTCTGGGTAAGGAAAGAGAAGGTCCCATTGTCCTCCCCCGCCCCCCCAGCCAGGACTAGCAGCTAAGACCGGCGCAGGGTAGGAGCCACTGGCTGGGATGTCTCCTCCACAGTGATTTACCTCTCTGCCGGCTGCTCCGGGCGCCCGAAACGATGTGCCCGCACCGCTGGGGAGGGGTGCATGACCGCTCTTGTGGCTTCCCTTTGCTTCCCCGTCATTTTCTGCGGGGAAGCAAAGAAATCTGCGGGGGACATGAATTCTGCACACACGCAGTAGCGCACAATTCCCCCAGGAGTAATTTCCATCTCTAATAACTATGAAAAAAGGTATCATATTTTTGACCCCAAGTGATCTGCTTTGTACATCATAATCACAAATTTTCAGACTTGGGTGCTTCAATGTGAACTTCGGAGTTAAATACTAAGCACCCATAAATCTCACACAAATCAACAGGTGCTACAAGTGCTCAGCATTTGTGAAAATCAGCTGTCTGTAGTTAGGTATTTATGTGTGGCTTTAGGAACCTGAGATTAGGCACGCAAGTCTGAAAACATTGTCCTATATTTGTGTGTTTCTTTGGGATGTAATTTAATAGTTGGCTATGGATTGCGGTTATCTTCTGTTTCAGACAATTATTTAAGTATCCCATTCTCAAGAGAGTTCCATGCAAAAAACAACCAGACAACATTCAAATTCAAATATCCTTATACCTAGACGGAGTTCTGTAGGGCAAAGACTGTCCTTTCTTACATATCTGTACAGTGCCTAGCACAATGGGACCCTGAACCTTTATTGGGGTTCCCAGGGATCATCATAAATATCCATCTCTTCGCAGAAGATCAATATTTTAACAAATAGGAAAATGATCTTCTCATTAGCCCGTCACTTTAAAAAGGGAAAAAAGACAACACTTCAAAAGCAAAAGATGATAAAGCAATCTTATACTTAAAGCAAACAGTAAATAAAAACTACAAGGTGCATTTCAAAACTTCAGTTTATTCTCCAAAGGAGAAAATGAGATTAAACTACCAATAGCAGTAACAAATGGGAAAAGCTACTATTACCATCTAAAACGAATTCACACGGTATCCTTACTTTGCACTGTGCCAAGTGTACAATTACTCGAGCCTTGGTGCATTACACCGTAATGCCCATTGCATATTGCCTGTAGAACGCCCAGGAACCACCCCCTTTCTCAGAAACCTTCTACTTTCTAAGCCTCCCCAAAAATATTTCTTCAGCAGATAGGTAGGTTCAGATCACTCAAGAAATTCAATACAAAGCAGAACTAAAATAATCAAATATTTTTCTTTAACATTTCATTAATAGTTTGTCTTTACCCTTCATATACTTCTGACTTCATTTCTAATCCTCCTAACTCCTTTGTAGCTCTAGTCCTCTTGAATCTTCAGCAGTTCTTCTTCCCTTCATCACTAATCACTCTACCCTTCAATCCCATCACTTTGAGCATCTCTAATATGGGAGAAGTATCTTCCAGTCCTGTTCCTGGACCACTGTACTCAGCCAGTAAACGGGAGTATTTTAGCGTAACTTATGAGGCAGCACCCACTATAAATGGCACATAAAGCAAACTTCACTCCCAGTGGTGCATGATTTATTACCTATGTCTCCTTTGAGAAACCGTACTTCCAACTGCATAGAGGTATTTCAAAATGTGCAATCACATCCTATGGCTATAGAGTTATTGTAGAGAAGAGCAGCAAGAAGCAGTGACGGGATTACATTTCTCAGGCTTGGTCTACACTCCAGACTTATCCACACTCTCTGAGAAATGCATTTATACTGACTGAACTCCTGGTATAGACAGCGCTGCGCTGACTGGGGGCGGGGGGAGAGCTTCTCGCATCAACATAGCCACTGCCTCTTGAGCAGGTGGAGTACCTAGAGTGGTGCAGCTGCACCACTGTAGGCATGTGTAGACCAACCCCTCAGTCAGTTATGATTTTTCTTTTGTCACTCACCCAGGTTGGAAGCCACATAAACAAAAACACAAACAAATCTTACCTCCAAACAAGGGCTCTGGCTCTACCAAAATTTCCTGCTTTTGTGGAATTGGTGCTCGTACTTCATCCCTACCAGAGGGGAAAAAAAATAACTTCATGTTTACCGAGGGATGTGCTGGGCACTGTATAACCAAACACTACCAGTTCCTGCCCCAAGAATCTTGCAGCTTAAATGACAGACAATAATACAGATGCATACCACCATGGTGAAGTAAGGATGTTATACACGTTTTTAATGATGTTATTTCAGGTGGCTCAAAGGCTCCACAGAGGAAGTGAATGTTTAAAAGACCTGAATTGAGAGAGGTTCTTTGACACATAAGAGGTTCCATGCATACAGGGTGTCACAGACTAGAGTCTACAACCCTACATAATGCAGAGAGAAATGCTTTATTTGTTTTACCAATTTCTTCACAGTCTTTTAGGCACTGTGTTTGAAGTTTAGGAGATGGACTGGCTGGCTCCTGAATGGAACCAAGGTATCAAATTTATTCCAATAAAAGCACTTCTAGGTTTTAACTTATGGTGGTATAAAAAGAAAAGGAGGACTTGTGGCACCTTAGAGACTAACAAATTTATTTGAGCATAAGCTTTCGTGAGCTACAAGCATCCGATGAAGTGAGCTGTAGCTCACAAAAGCTTATGCTCAAATAAATTTGTTAGTCTCTAAGGTGCCACAAGTCCTCCTTTTCTTTTTGTGAATACAGACTAACACGGCGGCTACTCTGAAAAGTGGTAAAAAAGTCACTGATTCACACAGACACAAGGCCTCCACACTAATGAATACAGACTTTTAGCTTCAGTACCTGTCAAAGGCAACTGGCAAAAAGGAATGGAATTTAGCATCAGCTAGGACTGTTGGAATCACTCCAGCTGTTTTAACCTCAAGTACACCCTTTTCTGGCACTTTCATCTTTATACTTAACCTGAATTTAGACAGAAAGTTTAATAAGATTGTTTCTAGGGTCAAAGTTCTCCATCCATAGAGCAGCTAGAGCAAAAGGTGCAGCACTGCCAGCTTCCCTACAATGCCCAAATGCAACGCACTCATGCCTTTCAGTGACCAACTCTGCATATGAGCGGGTAATATGCTCTTCATAATTATTCATACCCTGGCCTTTCATGAACTTTCAGGAGCTGGAGGCGCAAGTGGTGTTCTCGTCCATCCTCCCCGTGGAAGGAAAAGGCCTGGGTAGGGACCGTCGAATCGTGGAAGTCAACGAATGGCTACGCAGGTGGTGTCGGAGAGAAGGCTTTGGATTCTTTGACCATGGGATGGTGTTCCATGAAGGAGGAGTGCTGGGCAGAGATGGGCTCCATCTTACGAAGAGGGAAGAGCATCTTTGCCAGCAGGCTGGCTAACATAGTGAGGAGGGCTTTAAACTAGGTTCACCGGGGGAAGGAGACCAAAGCCCTGAGGTAAGTGGGAAAGCGGGATACCGGGAGGAAGCACAGGCAGGAATGTCTGTGAGGGGAGGGCTCCTGCCTCATACTGGGAATGAGGGGCGATCAACAGGTTATCTCAAGTGCTTATATACAAATGCACAAAGCCTTGGAAACAAGCAGGGGGAACTGGAGGTCCTGGTGATGTCAAGGAACTATGACGTGATCGGAATAACAGAGACTTGGTGGGATAACTCACATGACTGGAGTACTGTCATGAATGGTTATAAACTGTTCAGGAAGGACAGGCAGGGCAGAAAAGGTGGGGGAGTAGCACTGTATGTAAGGGAGCAGTATGACTGCTCAGAGCTCCAGTACGAAACTGCAGAAAAACCTGAGTGTCTCTGGATTAAGTTTAGAAGTGTGAGCAACAGGAGTGATGTAGTGGTGGGAGTCTGCTATAGACCACCGGACCAGGGGGATGAGGTAGATGAGGCTTTCTTCCGGCAGCTCACGGATGCTACTAGATCGCATGCCCTGATTCTCATGGGTGACTTTAATTTTCCTGATATCTGCTGGGAGAGCAATACAGCGGTGCATAGACAATCCAGGAAGTTTTTGGAAAGCGTAGGGGACAATTTCCTGGCGCAAGTGCTAGAGGAGCCAACTGGGGGGGGCGCTTTTCTTGACCTGCTGCTCACAAACCGGGAAGAATTAGTGGGGAAGCAAAAGTGGATGGGAATCTGGGAGGCAGTGACCATGAGTTGGTTGAGTTCAGGATCCTGACGCAGGGAAGAAAGGTAAGCAGCAGGATACGAACCCTAGACTTCAGGAAAGCAGACTTCGACTCCCTCAGGGAACGGATGGCCAGGATCCCCTGGGGGACTAACTTGAAGGGGAAAGGAGTCCAGGAGAGCTGGCTGTATTTCAAGGAATCCCTGTTGAGGTTACAGGGACAAACCATCCCGATGAGTCGAAAGAATAGTAAATATGGCAGGCGACCAGCTTGGCTTAATGGTGAAATCCTAGCGGATCTTAAACATAAAAAAGAGGCTTACAAGTAGTGGAAGATTGGACATATGACCAGGGAAGAGTATAAAAATATTGCTCGGGCATGTAGGAATGATATCAGGAGGGCCAAATTGCACCTGGAGCTGCAGCTAGCCAGAGATGTCAAGAGTAACAAGAAGGGTTTCTTCAGGTATGTTGGCAACAAGAAGAAAGACAAGGAAAGTGTGGGCCCCTTACTGAATCAGGGAGGCAACCTAGTGACAGAGGATGTGGAAAAAGCTAATGTACTCAATGCTTTTTTTGCCTCTGTTTTCACTAACAAGGTCAGCTCCCAGACTGCTGCGCTGGGCATCGCAAAATGGGGAAGAGATGGCCAGCCCTCTGTGGAGATAGAGGTGGTTAGGGACTATTTAGAAAAGCTGGACGTGCACAAGTCCATGGGGCTGGACGAGTTGCATCCGAGAGTGCTGAAGGAATTGGCGGCTGTGATTGCAGAGCCATTGGCCATTATCTTTGAAAACTCGTGGCGAACGGGGGAAGTCCCGGATGACTGGAAAAAGGCTAATGTAGTGCCAATCTTTAAAAAAGGGAAGAAGGACGATCCTGGGAACTACAGGCCAGTCAGCCTCACCTCAGTCCCTGGAAAAATCATGGAGCAGGTCCTCAAAGAATCAATCCTGAAGCACTTGCATGAGAGGAAAGTGATCAGGAACAGTCACCATGGATTCACCAAGGGAAGGTCATGCCTGACTAATCTAATCGCCTTTTATGATGAGATTACTGGTTCTGTGGATGAAGGGAAAGCAGTGGATGTATTGCTTCTTGACTTTAGCAAAGCTTTTGACACGGTCTCCCACAGTATTCTTGTCAGCAAGTTAAGGAAGTATGGGCTGGAAGAATGCACTATAAGGTGGGTAGAAAGCTGGCTAGATTGTCGGGCTCAACGGGTAGTTATCAATGGCTCCATGTCTAGTTGGCAGCCGGTATCAAGTGGAGTGCCCCAAGGGTCGGTCCTGGGGCCGGTTTTGTTCAATATCTTCATAAATGATCTGGAGGATGGTGTGGATTGCACTCTCAGCAAATTTGCGGATGATACTAAACTGGGAGGAGTGGTAGATACGCTGGAGGGCAGGGATAGGATACAGAAAGATCTAGACAAATTGGAGGATTGGGCCAAAAGAAATCTGATGAGGTTCAATAAGGATAAGTGCAGGGTCCTGCACTTAAGACGGAAGAACCCAATGCACAGCTACAGACTAGGGACCGAATGGCTAGGCAGCAGTTCTGCGGAAAAGGACCTAGGGGTGACAGTGGACGAGAAGCTGGATATGAGTCAGCAGTGTGCTCTTGTTGCCAAGAAGGCCAATGGCATTTTGGGATGTATAAGTAGGGGCATAGCGAGCAGATCGAGGGACGTGATCGTTCCCCTCTATTCGACATTGGTGAGGCCTCATCTGGAGTAGTGTGTCCAGTTTTGGGCCCCACACTACAAGAAGGATGTGGATAAACTGGAGAGAGTCCAGCGAAGGGCAACAAAAATGATTAGGGGTCTGGAACACATGAGTTATGAGGAGAGGCTGAGGGAGCTGGGATTGTTTAGTCTGCGGAAGAGAAGAATGAGGGGGGATTTGATAGCTGCTTTCAACTACCTGAAAGGGGGTTCCAAAGAGGATGGCTCTAGACTGTTCTCAATGGTAGCAGATGACAGAACGAGGAGTAATGGTCTCAAGTTGCAGTGGGGGAGGTTTAGATTGGATATTAGGAAAAACTAAGAGGGTGGTGAAACACTGGAATGCGTTACCTAGGGAGGTGGTAGAATCTCCTTCCTTAGAGGTTTTTAAGGTCAGGCTTGACAAAGCCCTGGCTGGGACGATTTAACTGGGATTTGGTCCTGCTTCGAGCAGGGGGTTGGACTAGATGACCTTCTGGGGTCCCTTCCAACCCTTATATTCTATGAACAACATGGACACCAATTAATGGCAAAAAGAAAAGGAGTACCTGTGGCACCTTAGAGACTAACCAATTTATTTGAGCATGAGCTTTCCGATGAAGTGAGCTGTAGCTCATGAAAGCTCACGCTCAAATAATTTGGTTAGTCTCTAAGGTGCCACAGGTATTCCTTTTCTTTTTGCGAATATAGACTAACATGGCTGTTACTCTAAAACCTGCAATTAATGGCAAACGTTGCTGTGGATTTTATGGTAGGACACAAGCCCCCTAGGAACCAGACAGAAACCACTAACTCATTTCTTGAAGAGCAAAAACCTAATTACTTTTTAGCCATGACTAATCCAATTTAGACCAAGTTTAAACCAGTGACTTGGAGGTGAAAGTAACTGTCATTACTACCACTTACACATCCACTGTGCAAGACCCAGCTTCTATGTCCCCTGACAGCAGCATTTAGCTAGCATGGCTTGTAACCAATATTCCTGATAGGTATGCAAATGTTATCCAAAACTTACAGGTGAGGAAATTGAGTCCTGGTACAATTTTCAGGACAGGGGACTATCTCTTTGTTATATGTTTGTATAGCACCAACAAGGTGCTAGCCTCTAGGTACTATTTTAACACCAGCAGTGAGAACAGGTAATTTTCCCAAGTCAAAACGAGAAACAAACCCCAGGTCTCTTAAAACCCAGTCCTGTGTTTTAACCACAAGACAATTCTTACTACCAGATAAAAGTTTTACTAGAACAGCCTTACCAGAGGAGTGGAGAAATGGACAAGATCATTAAAGAACTACATAGTAACAGTGAAGTGACAGCAGGTTATGAGAGAAATGAACAATGCAACAGCAAAATGCCTTGATGCCATAACTTTCCCACCTTTCTATCCTACCACCATTCAACACAGGTTATTCATTCACATGGATACATTCACACAGGCACATACTCAGTATGTGGTCGTACAGTTGATACTGCTGCTGAACTGGTGCTGGGCTCCTCTGCTATGCCTCCACCATCCAGAAACATAGTGACAGCCATCTCTAGATTATTGTTGCATGCTTCAAGCATATGTTTCCCCACACTTTCACTGGCACCTATAATACCAAAGACAAAAAAAGTCTCAGAAAATAGTATCAAGACCCTGATCAAAGAGGTGCTGGGAATAGCTGACAGGCAAGATTGCTCTTCCAAAGAATTGGTAATTAGTAAGAATGCACAACTTATGTGGCTGTCACTTGCTTTGCATTTATAGTTTAGAAACCACCAGAAGAAACACTAATATACATATCTTGCCTGGGGAGGGGAAAAAAGAGATGGAAACGTGGCTCTCCTTCAATCCTATCCCCTTCCTTAAAAAAGTAAAGTTTAGCAATAGCCATTTAATCTTTTTTGTTTTTTTAACAGGTCTCAGATCTTTGCCCAACACAAAATTCAAAACATGAAGAAGGTGCAAGGATCCAGAAAGACGTTGGGTTATACACAAAATTAACTACCAACTTCTCAAACCCTATAGATAGCTCAATATTAAATCAGCAATGAGTATACTGCAGGGTGGATTTGATTTAAATTACTAGTCAGGAAGATCCGATTTAATCATGGATTTCTACATAAAGTGCATTCTTGTTGGTTGTTATAACCTTAATACATATTCTTCACAACTCAGAGATAGAATCAAGGTTTCGTTTTTAGAAGGTACACACTATACATTTTTAAAGTGATTTCGCAAATTTTTCAGATTAGTTTTACAGCTATATCAGAAAATGAATGATTTTGTAAATGAAATACCCAAACAAAGGTAATTGAAGCAGATATTTATGAAGTCACTGGGAGGTGAACTATCTCCAGTTCAACAGGTTAATCATGAATATTTGGAGGATTTTCTTGCCATGCTGTATTACGAGGAGAACATCACCAGACAGAAAATTGTTTTATTTAACTAAAGCAACAATGTTAAGTATTCTGGATTTTTTTCTTCAACAGCAAACATCGTATTTTAACAAAACAAGCATATAAATTTTTGAATTTAGTTAAACATTCAAGTTTTTAAAAATCATTGTTGTTTTTGTTAAAATCAAATTTTAACTATTTTAGTTAAATACTACTACGTCAGCCAGGTCAACATGAGAAACTTAAAATACTGGCTTCTACAGCTATCTCACTCGTCTTCTCCTTCATTTTCCTGTTTGTTTATAATCTGGAAAAGAAAAACAAGCTTTCCTGCTTTTTCAGGTCCCAAACGATTTCTCAATTTGTAATGAATTAGTCCAAAGAAGCTACTGCTGTTAAAAGTGAGATTATCACTTCAACAGCCTCTGAATCCAAGAGCTTAAGTGACTTCCACCAGTTCACTGGTGTGACTTTCTTTAAAACATCAATCAGTAAATGTATAATCCTTGAATGGTTCACCCTTGGCTGTGACATGGGCATCCAGCAATCATTCCTCCATAATGCCAACTATAATAAACTTCAGCACTAACTCCTCTTCTTCAGCAGTTAAAGTCTGACCCTGGTACTGTCACTGCATATTTCTTTCTTAAGATCTCACTCCGTTCCTTCCAAATGTCAACAGTGTCAGCAACAAAAACAGCCATTTCCCTGCATTTTGTTCAAGGCTACAGAAATAGGCTTCACGGTACTCAGCATGTTTTCAACATTTCTCTTAAGCCCAATGTTGAGAACTTTGGCTGTGACAGTGCCATCTATTTTCTTATGATTTTGTTCACAGTCATCAGATTAGGCCAATTCTTGATATAGTGCTCAAAACAGTCCACTACTGAGTTCTATCGCACGTCTTGTGGGAGAGTTAACTTAGTTACTCCCACTTTTTTCAGAGAAGCTGCTGCAAAGTGGTGTTACGGAAGCATTTTGCAATTTCAACAACATTAGCCTTTATTTCTGGAACACGGAAGTCTTTGGCTCGGAGGTGCATCAAATGAGCACTGCAACTGTATATTATTAGGTTGGGACTCTTCACCCTCTGCTAAATAATTTCTTCTCATCTTGGATACATTTGCAGCATTGTCTGTGACCAAGCTACATACCAGACATTTGAATTGTTTTCCACAATTTGTTATAGCTTTTACTGCTACTTCTTGGAAGTATTCTGCTCTGTGTGCATTTCCTGATGTATCAATTGTTTTTGTAAGGAAGACATTCCCTTCTTGCTGTCACACAAGCACATACAACAGGATCATTGTGGACATTGTTCCACCCATCAAGACTCAGGTTAACAATTTTACCCTCTAGACCTTTTGCACACTGTTCAATTTCTCTTTCATACACTTTATCCAGCAATTGGGTGGACTGTATCCTGGTCTTAATGATTAAACCATGTTAATGAAGTGTGGGTTCTCAATCATATGGAATGGAGAGTTTGTTGCATAAACAAACCGGGCAATTTTTTCATCAATTACCTCTTTTTATAATCTGCTGGTTCTCATCACAAACTTATCTATGGCTGTTTCTGGATGATGGAGATTTTCTTTTCGCTACAGGTGACATACTGTGGCTATGTGACATACATAATGTGACTGAAACGCCATCATTGACAAGTAACTCTGAAACTATAGAAAATGACAACCATATTTTCCTATCTTTTAAAACCCTTCCCTTCTCTATTGTGGTTTGAAGGCACACAAAGAGAGGAAACTATAATGAAACAGACTATGCACAAGTTGTAGCAAGTGCTCAAGATAAACCAAACAAAGAATTTTCATAGGGAGCAATCCAGTGCCGTTTGTAAGAACAGGGGGGAAATATATATGGAAAAAAGGATCATTTCAGTGTATTAGATTACTTCCACAGATCATGTTACACCAGAATCTGCCCACTAATTACTCAAGCAAACAGAACTTCAGTTGCACTGGGGGAAGCAGGAGGAGGAAGACTGCTGCATCTTGTGGTCTCTGTTGAGTACAAGGAGCACTTGTCTTGGCGACGGAGGGAAAAGGAAAAGAGCATCTGACAGCATTGGAGTTTCACCCTTACAGCAGACAGGGATTCCGTGCCAGGCCCCCCAGCAGCCTGTCCCCCCACGCATGTCCCTCCGCTCGCCCACCCGGCTCCGGGTCTCTGTGCCGCAGACACAGGCCGGGCAGCGGCCCACCTGCCAGGTGGGGTGCCTGAGCGCCCTTCCCTGGGCCCAGGACTTTGCCGGGAGAGCAGGGCCGGGGCCACCCCTCGAAGAGCACAGAGAAACGGGCCAGCCCCTGATCTGGCCCACCTTAGGGAGGAGGGGGAACCCGACATCCCCTCAGCCGGGAGCCTCCTTGCCGGCGCCCCCCGGCCGGAAGCCGCCGCTGGCCCAGGCCGGCTCCGCCCGGAGCTGGCCCAGAGCAGCGGGACCCAGCTCCCCGGTGTTGCCCCCCGATACGGGGGCTACAGGACGTGCACAGCCCCCCGCCTTCCGTGTGTCTCACCCGTGATAGCGGTGAACTGCTGGATTAACCCTTTGAGCGCCGAGGAGGCCGCAGAGCCCCCGTGCGCCGCCATCTTGCCGCCGCCGCCGCCGAACAACAACACCAGCCACCTGCCCGGTTGCTGTGCACAGGCGCAGAGCCGCCCAAACTCCTTTCCCTTCGCTCGCCCCCAGGGAGGCGCTTTCAATTTCAATATCAAGCTTTATTGGTGGCCGCGGCTGCTCAGCCCACTTCCCCGCCCCTCCCGGGGCGGGGCGCTACTGTCCCTTTCCCTCAACAGTGGGAGGTGCCCAGGGCCAAAGTCGGGGTTCTAGATCTGCTCCCTCCAGCAAGGCCAAACACTGACAGCCCCTGGTGCGGCCATGTCCTTCCTTGGGCCAGGCACTAAAAACTCAAGAGTCAGGCTCTTGCTCTCATAAGATTAGATAGAAAATCAGGAGGGTGTTTTAAAGAAACAACGGGTTTCAGAGTAACAGCCATGTTAGTCTCTAAGGTGCCACAAGTACTCCTTTTCTTTTAAAGAAACAACGTGATTCTTTAAATGTGGCAGTGGGGCTGAGCCTTGTCCCATTCTTCATGCTACCAGGCAGGCTAGAAAATGCCTTTTTTTATTATTACATACAGTTTCTCCTATTCACATGACTCCAAGAGCTGGGGCTTTATGAAAAGTACCATATATCATGCAACGCACTATAGATTAATGAGAAGTGATGGCACTGTCTCCGTAGGCTGGCCATCTACACCAAAGCTACCCTCGGGGGATCCATCACCACCATGCTGTAAGGAGGTGGCTCACACCACACCCATGCTGAGTCTGCTGCTAGGAATCATAGAATATCAGGGTTGGAAGGGACCTCAGGAGGTCATCTAGTCCAACCCCCTGCTCAAAGCAGGACCAATCCCCAATTAAATCATCCCAGGCAGGGTTTTGTCAAGCCTGACCTTAAAAATTTCTAAGGAAGGCAGCAGTTGGGTTCCACCCACCCCCTGGCTGCAGTGACGGTGACAGGAATCTGGTGGCAGAAGTCCAGTGCCAGTGAGCGTTCTGTAAACACAACAGGCAGACGAATGGGGTAATTAAAACTTCTCAGATGCTTCCTGTAGATGTCACAGAGACTGCACTGTAATTAAATTTTAGCTTCGTTGTAACGGAAAAAATACCAAAGAAACACACAACGGTAGCATTTTTTAACTTTAAAGAAAGGAACTACACAAAAATAAAGAAGCTAGTTAAACAGAAATTAAAAGGAACAGTCACAAGAATGAAATGCCTGCAAGTTGCATGGAACAGACTTAAATGCCACAATGGAGGTTCAAACTAAACATATACCCCTAATAAAATAATAATAATAATTATTAATAATAATAAAAAACAACAAAAATAGGACCAAAAATTGCCACCCTGGCTAATCAGCAGACTAAAAAAGGTGGTTCAAGGCAAACAGGCATCCTTTAAAAACTGGATGTCAAATCCTGCTGAGGAAAATAGAAAGGAGCATAAACTTTGGCAAGTGTATAAGTGTAATTAAGCAGGTCAAAAAAGAATGTGAAGAGCAAATAGCAAAAGACACAAACAGCAAAAAATAAAATAATAATATTCAAGTACATCAGAAGTGGGAAGCCTACCAAACAACCTAGGTCCACTATGATCAAGGTACTCAAGGAGGACAAGACTGTTGCAGAGAAGCTAAATGAATTCTTTGCATTAGTCTTCACTGCAGAGGATATAAGGGAGATTCCCACACCTAAGCGATTAGAATCATAGAATCTTAGACTTTAAGGTCAGACAGGACCATTACAATCGTCTAGTCTAACCTCCTGCACAATGCAAGCCACAGAATCTCACCCATCCACTCCGGTAACAAACCCCTACCCCTATGCCTGAGCTACTGAAGTCCTCAAATCGTGGTTTAAAGACTTCAAGGTGCAGAGAATTCTCCAGCAAGTGACCTGTGCCCCACACTGCAGAGGAAGGCGAAAAACCCCAGGGCCTCTGCCAATCTGCCCTTTCCTGACCCCAAATATGGCAATCAGCTAAACCCTGAGCGTATGGGCAAGATTCACCAGCCAGATACCCAGGAAAGAATTTTCTGTAGTAACTCAGATCCCACCCCATTTAACATCCCATCACAGGCCATTGGGCCTATTTACCATGAACAGTTAAAGATCAATTAATTACCAAAATCATATTATCCCATCATACCATCTCCTCCATAAACTTATTGAGTTTAATCTTAAAGCCAGATAGGTCTTTTGCCCCCACTGCTTCCCTTGGAAGGCTATTCCAAAACTTCACTCCTCTGATGGTTAGAAACCTTTGTCTAATTTCAAGTCTAAACTTCCCAATGACCAGTTTATATCCATTTGTTCTTGTGTCCACATTGATACTGAGCTTAAATAATTCCTCTCCCTCTCTGGTATTTATCCCTCTGATATATTTATAGAGAGCAATCATATCTCCCCTCAGCCTTCTTTTGTTTAGGCTAAACAAGCCAAGCTCTTTGACTCTCCTTTCATAAGACAGGTTTTCCATTCCTTTGGATCATCCTAGTAGCCCTTCTCTGTACCTGTTCCACTTTGAATTCATCCTTCTTAAACACAAGAGATCAAACTGCACACAATATTCCAGATGAGGTCTCACCAGTACCTTGTATAACAGTACTAAAACCTCCTTATCTCTACTGGAAATACCTCGCCTGATGCATCCCAAGACCGCATTAGCTTTTTTCACGGCCATATCACATTGGCGGCTCATACTCATCCTGTGATCAACCAATATTCCGAGGTCCTTCTCCTCCTTTGTTACTTCCAAGTGATGCACCCCCAGCTTATAACGAAAATTCTTATTAATCCCTAAATGCATGACCTTGCACTTTTCACTATTAAATTTCATCCTAGTACTATTACTCCAGTTTACAAGGTCCAGATCTTCCTGTATGATATCCCGATCCTTCTCTGTATTGGCAATACCTCCCAGCTTCGTGTCATCACAAACTTTATTAGCACATTCCCACTTTTTGTGCCAAGGTCAGTAATAAAAAGATTAAATAAGATTTCTCCCAAAACCAATCCCTGAGGAATTCCACTAGTAACCTCCTTCCAGCCTGACAGTTCACCTTTCAGTATGACCCATTGTAGTCTCCCCTTTAACCAGTTCCTTATTCACTTTTCAGTTTTCATATTGATCCCTATCTTTTCCAATTTAGCTAATAATTCCCCATGTGGAACCATATCAAATGCCTTATTGAAATTGAGGTAAATTAGATCCACTGTGTTTCCTTTGTTTAAAAAATCTGTTATCTTCTCAAAGAATGGTTTCAGAGGAACAGCCGTGTTAGTCTGTATTCGCAAAAAGAAAAGGAGTACTTGTGGCACCTTAGAGACTAACCAATAGCCCGACTTGATTATGTAAAGAGTTGTCACTTTGGATGGGCAGCACCAGCAGGAGAGTGAATTTGTGTGGGGGGGTGGAGGGTGAGAAAACCTGGATTTGTGCTGGAAATGGCCCACCTGTTGATCATTTTAGATAAGCTATTACCAGCAGGACAGTGGGGTGGGAGGAGGTATTGTTTCATATTCTCTGTGTGTATATAAAGTCTGCTGCAGTTTCCACGGTAAACATCTGATGAAGTGAGCTGTAGCTCACGAAAGCTCATGCTCAAATAAATTGGTTAGTCTCTAAGGTGCCACAAGTACTCCTTTTCTTCTCAAAGAAGGGGATCAGGTTGGTTTGGCATGATCTACCTTTTGTAAAACCATGTTGTATTTTGTCCCAATTACCATTGACCTCAATGTCCTTAAATTTTTCCAAGACCTTGCATACTTCAGATGTCAAACTAACAGGCCTGTAGTTACCCAGATCACTTTTTTTCCCCTTTCTTAAAAATTGGAACTATGTTAGCAAGTCTCCAGGCATATGGTACAACCCCTGAGTTTACAAATACATTAAAAATTCTTGCTAATGGGCTTGCAATTTCATGTGCCAGTTCCTTTAATATTCTTAGATGAAGATTATCTGGGCCCCCCAATTTAGTCCCATTAAGATGTTAGAGTTTGGCTTCTACCTCAGATGTGGTAATATCTACCTCCATATCCTCATTCCCATTTGTCATCCTACCATTATCCCTAAGCTCCTCATTAGCCTCATTAAAGACTGAGGCAAAGTATTTGTTTAGATATTGGGCCATGCCTAGATTATCCTTGACCTCCACTCCATCCTCAGTGTTTAGCGGTCCCACTTCTTCTTTCTTTGTTTTCTTCTTATTTATATGGCTACAGAACCTTTTACTATTGGTTTTAATTCCCTTTGCAAGGTCCAACTCTACTTAACTTTTAGCCTTTCACACTTCATCCCTACATGTTCTGACTTCAATAAGGTAGCTTTCCTTGCTGATCCTTCCCATCGTCCACTCCCTGTATGCTTTCTGCTTTTTCTTAATCACCTCTCTGAGATGCTTGCTCATCCAGCTTGGTCTACTCCTGCCTATGAATTTTTTCCCCCTTTCTTGGGATGCAGGCTTCTGATAAAAAGAAAAGGAGTACTTGTGGCACCTTAGAGACTAACCAATTTATTTGAGCATGAGCTTTCGTGAGCTACAGCTCACTTCATCGGATGCATACCGTGGAAACTGCAGCAGACTTTATATACACACAGAGATCATGAAACAATACCTCCTCCCACCCCACTGTCCTGCTGGTAATAGCTTATCTAAAGTGATCATCAAGTTGGGCCATTTCCAGCACAAATCCAGGTTTTCTCACCCTCCACCCCCCCACACACACAAACTCACTCTCCTGCTGGTAATAGCCCATCCAAAGTGACAACTCTCTACACAATGTGCATGATAATCAAGGTGGGCCATTTCCTGCACAAATCCAGGTTCTCTCATCCCCTCACCCCCCTCCAAAAAACACACACACACAAACTCACTCTCCTGCTGGTAATAGCTCATGCAAGTGACCACTCTCCCTACAATGTGCATGGTAATCAAGGTGGGCCATGTCCAGCACAAATCCAGGCTCTCTCACCCCCCCCCCTTTTTTTTTTCCCGGGGACACACACACACACACACACACAAACTCACTCTCCTGCTGGCAATAGCTCATCCAAACTGACCACTCTCCAAGTTTAAATCCAAGTTTAACCAGAACGTCG